ATCTACAGAACGTTTAAAGTTCCATTGGGTGATTACCACAAATAACAACAACAGCAAAAACAAACCAACTTCAAAACTTGTTACCTTCTTTATGCCAAAAACACTGTTTGCCATTGCTCCTCACTCCTCTCTTTTACTATGCTTCCACTCCTTGCAGGACGTCCTTCATACATGCAAATGCGCCAGGAACGAGAAAACTTTCGCAAAAAGTTGGTAGAATTAATTGCCCGTAAAGATGATGAGGCGGCCACCACCAATGCCATAAATGATGATTCTGGAGGTGCTGGTCCCGATACCATGGACTGGGACAGTGAATTTCCCAATCAGCAGGAAAAGGAGGTGTTACGTTATTACTACTACATTAAGCATGGTATCGATACCATTCATGTATCGCCAATGAGCAAAAAAGTTTTAAACAGGTTAGCGAAGACATAGAGACACCGAGCAGGATGATGATGAGTTGGATGCTGGAAAATGAGTGTGCCATGCATTATTGGCATTGACTTTTATCAAAAGAGGGATCTAATGATTAGCATATAATTGGTTTCTTTTTCTACTTTGTCTTCTTCTTCTTTTATGTCTTCTTTTCGTTCCATTTTTCTTTTTTATAGAATTAAGAGTCAAATTCCGCCAGTCTTAAATAAATGGGAGGTGGCTCTGTCAGAGAATATCAATGAAATCAAATCCGATTATATCTTCTCGATGAAAAAAGCTGTGGTGGATTTTGTTTTGCAAAATTCTTTGACAAATCTAAAAAAGGATACAAAGCTGGAATTGACAAAGGAGCGAAAGGAAATCAATGCCATGTCGAATAAATGGAGATATCGGTAAGATGCTTTTGTCCCTTTTTTAGATAATAGAGAGGATAAAAGGAAAATAAAGTGGAATTAAATGTTGTTCTTTCCAAGGACTACACAATTGTTAATGAATTTAAAATAGTCAATTAAAACATCCACGCCTTTTATAAGCCTTAAAAAATAGTCCATTAAAACATCCACGCCTCTTATAAGCCTTGAAAAAATAGTCATTTAAAAAATCCTCGTCTCTCATAAGCCTTGAAAAATAGTCCTTTAAAACATCCACGCCTCTTATAAGCCTTGAAAAAAAATCCTTTCAAACATCCACGCCTCTTATAAGCCTTGAAAAATGGTCCTTTAAGAAATCCACGCATCTTATAAGCATTGAAAAATAGTCCTTTAAAAAATCCACACCTCTTATAAGCCTTGAAAAATAGTCCTTTAAAAATCCAAGCATCTTATAAGCCTTGAAAAATAGCCCTTTAAAAAATCCACGCCTCTTATAAGCCTTGAAAAATAGTCCTTTAAAAAATCCAGCCTTATAAAATAGTCCTTTAAAAAATCCAGCCTTATAAAATAGTCCTTTAAAAAATCCAGCCTTGAAAAATAGTCCTTTAAAAAATCCAGCCTTAAAAAATAGTCCTTTAAAAAATCCACGCCTCTTATAAGCCTTGACAAATAGTCATTTAAAAAAATCCAGCCTTGAAAAATAGTCCTATAAAAAATCCACGCCTCTTATAAGCCTTGAAAAATAGTCCTTTAAAAAATCCAGCCTTGAAAAATTGTCCTTTAAAAAATCCACGCCTCTTATAAGCCTTGAAAAATAGTCCTTTAAAAAATCCAGCCTTGAAAAATAGTCCTTTAAAAAATCCACGCCTCTTATAAGCCTTGAAAAACTAGTCCTTTAAAAAATCCACGCCTCTTATAAGCCTTGAAAAAATAGTACTTTAAAAAATCCACGCCTCTTATAAGCCTTGAAAAAATAGTCCTTTAAAAAATCCACGCCTCTTATAAGCCTTGAAAAAATAGTCCTTTAAAAAATCCACGCCTCTTATAAGCCTTGAAAAAATAGTCCTTTAAAAAATCCACGCCTCTAATAAGCCTTGAAAAAATAGTCCTTTAAAAAATCCACGCCTCTTATACGCCTTGAAAAAATAGTCCTTTAAAAAATCCACGCCTCTTATAAGCCTTGAAAAAATAGTCCTTTAAAAAATCCACGCCTCTTATAAGCCTTGAAAAAATAGTCCTTTAAAAAATCCACGCCTCTTATAAGCCTTGAAAAAATAGTCCTTTAAACAATCCACGCCTCTTAGAAGCCTTGAAAAAATAGTCCTTTAAAAAATCCACGCCTCTTATAAGCCTGGAAAAAATAGTCCTTTAAAAAATCCACGCCTCTTATAAGCCTTGAAAAAATAGTCCTTTAAACAATCCACGCCTCTTATATGGCTTGAAGAATAGTCCTTTAAAAAATCCACGCCTCTTATATGGCTTGAAAAATAGTCCTTTAAAACATCCACGCCTTGTATAAGCCTTGAAAGATAGTCCTTTAAAAAATCCACGCCTCTTATAAGCCTTGAAAATATTTGAAAAGTCCAAATAGTCCTTTAAAAAATCCATGCCTCTTATAAGCCTTGAAAGAATAGTCCTTTAAAACATCCACGCCTCTTATAAGCCTCGAGAAAATAGTCCTTTAAAAAATCCATGCCTCTTATACGCCTTGAAAAATTAGTCCTTTAAAACATTCACGCCTCTTATAAGCCTCGAAAAAATAGTCCTTTAAAACATTCACGCCTCTTATAAGCCTCGAGAAGATAGTCCTTTAAAACATTCACGCCTCTTATAAGCCTCGAGAAAATAGTCCTTTAAAAAATCCATGCCTCTTATAAGCCTTGAAAAAATAGTCCTTTAAAACATCCACCCCTCTTATAAGCCTTGAAAAATAGTCCTTTAAAAAATCCACCTCTCTTATAAGCCTTGAAAAATATTCCTTTAAAATATCCACGCCTCCTATAAGCCTTGAAAAATATTCCTTTAAAATATCCACGCCTCCTATAAGCCTTGAAAAATAGTCCTTTAAAAATCCACGCCTCTTATAAGCCTTGAAAAATAGTCCTTTTTGAAAAATCCACGCCTCTTATAAGCCTTGAAAAAATAGTCCTTTAAAAAATCCACGCCTCTTATAAGTCTTGAAAAAATAGTCCTTTAAAAAATCCACGCCTCTTATAAGTCTTGAAAAAATAGTCCTTTAAAAAATCCACGCCTCTTATATGGCTTGAAAAATAGTCCTTTAAAAAATCCACGCCTCTTATATGGTTTGAAAAATAGTCCTTTAAAAAATCCACGCCTCGTATATGGCTTGAAAAATAGTCCTTTAAAAAATCCACGCCTCTTATATGGCTTGAAAAATAGTCCTATAAAAAATCCACGCCTCTTATATGGCTTGAAAAATAGTCTATTAACAAATCCACGCCTCGTATATGGCTTGAAAAATAGTCCTTTAAAAAATCCACGACTCGTATATGGCTTGAAAAATAGTCCTTTAAAAAATCCACGCCTCTTATATGGCTTGAAAAATAGTCCTATAAAAAATCCACGCCTCTTATATGGCTTGAAAAATAGTCTATTAACAAATCCACGCCTCTTATATGGCTTGAAAAATAGTCCTATAAAAAATCCACGCCTCTTATATGGCTTGAAAAATAGTCTATTAACAAATCCACGCCTCTTATATGGCTTGAAAAATAGTCCTATAAAAATCCACGCCTCTTATATGGCTTGAAAAATAGTCCTATAAAAAATCCACGCCTCTTATATGGCTTGAAAAATAGTCTATTAACAAATCCACGCCTCTTATATGGCTTGAAAAATAGTCCTTTAAAAAATCCACGCCTCGTATATGGCTTGAAAAATAGTCCTTTAAAAAATCCACGCCTCTTATATGGCTTGAAAAATAGTCCTTTAAAAAATCCACGCCTCTTATATGGCTTGAAAAATAGTCCTTTAAAAAATCCACGCCTCTTATATGGCTTGAAAAATAGTCTATTAACAAATCCACGCCTCTTATATGGCTTGAAAAATAGTCCTTTAAAAAATCCACGCCTCGTATATGGCTTGAAAAATAGTCCTTTAAAAAATCCACGCCTCTTATATGGCTTGAAAAATAGTCCTTTAAAAAATCCACGCCTCTTATATGGCTTGAAAAATAGTCCTATAAAAAATCCACGCCTCTTATATGGCTTGAAAAATAGTCTATTAACAAATCCACGCCTCTTATATGGCTTGAAAAATAGTCCTTTAAAAAATCCACGCCTCGTATATGGCTTGAAAAATAGTCCTCTAAAAAATCCACGCCTCTTATATGGCTTGAAAAATAGTCCTATAAAAAATCCACGCCTCTTATATGGCTTGAAAAATAGTCTATTAACAAATCCACGCCTCTTATATGGCTTGAAAAATAATCCTTTAAAAAATCCACGCCTCGTATATGGCTTGAAAAATAGTCCTTTGAAAAATCCACGCCTCTTATATGGCTTGAAAAATAGTCCTATAAAAAATCCACGCCTCTTATATGGCTTGAAAAATAGTCTATTAACAAATCCACGCCTCTTATATGGCTTGAAAAATAGTCCTTTAAAAAATCCACGCCTCGTATATGGCTTGAAAAATAGTCCTTTAAAAAATCCACGCCTCTTATATGGCTTGAAAAATAGTCTATTAACAAATCCACGCCTCTTATATGGCTTGAAAAATAGTCCTTTAAAAAATCCACGCCTCTTATATGGCTTGAAAAATAGTCCTATAAAAAATCCACGCCTCTTATATGGCTTGAAAAATAGTCTATTAACAAATCCACGCCTCTTATATGGCTTGAAAAATAGTCCTTTAAAAAATCCACGCCTCGTATATGGCTTGAAAAATAGTCCTTTAAAAAATCCACGCCTCTTATATGGCTTGAAAAATAGTCCTTTAAAAAATCCACGCCTCTTATATGGCTTGAAAAATAGTCCTATAAAAAATCCACGCCTCTTATATGGCTTGAAAAATAGTCTATTAACAAATCCACGCCTCTTATATGGCTTGAAAAATAGTCCTTTAAAAAATCCACGCCTCGTATATGGCTTGAAAAATAGTCCTTTAAAAAATCCACGCCTCTTATATGGCTTGAAAAATAGTCCTTTAAAAAATCCACGCCTCTTATATGGCTTGAAAAATAGTCCTATAAAAAATCCACGCCTCTTATATGGCTTGAAAAATAGTCTATTAACAAATCCACGCCTCTTATATGGCTTGAAAAATAGTCCTTTAAAAAATCCACGCCTCGTATATGGCTTGAAAAATAGTCCTTTAAAAAATCCACGCCTCGTATATGGCTTGAAAAATAGTCCTTTAAAAAATCCACGCCTCTTATATGGCTTGAAAAATAGTCCTTTAAAAAATCCACGCCTCTTATATGGCTTGAAAAATAGTCCTTTAAAAAATCCACGCCTCTTATATGGCTTGAAAAATAGTCCTTTAAAAAATCCACGCCCCTTATATGGCTTGAAAAATAGTCTTTTAAAAAATCCACGCCTCTTATATGGCTTGAAAAATAGTCCTTAAAAAAATCCACGCCTCTTATATGGCTTGAAAAATAGTCCTTAAAAAATCCACGCCTCTTATATGGCTTGAAAAATAGTCCTTTAAAAAATCCACGCCTCTTATATGGCTTGAAAAATAGTCCTTTAAAAAATCCACGCCTCTTATATGGCTTGAAAAATAGTCTTTTAAAAAATCCACGCCTCTTATATGGCTTGAAAAATAGTCCTTAAAAAAATCCACGCCTCTTATATGGCTTGAAAAATAGTCCTTAAAAAATCCACGCCTCTTATACGGCTTGAAAAATACTCCTTTAAAAAATCCACGCCTCTTATATGGCTTGAAAAATAGTCCTTTAAAAAATCCACGCCTCTTATATGGCTTGAAAAATAGTCCTTAAAAAATCCACGCCTCTTATATGGCTTGAAAAGTGGTCCTTAAAAAATCCACGCCTCTTATATGGCTTGAAAAATAGTCCTTTAAAAAATCCACGCCTCTTATATGGCTTGAAAAATAGTCCTTAAAAAATCCACGCCTCTTATATGGCTTGAAAAATAGTCCTTAAAAATCCACGCCTCTTATATGGCTTGAAAAATAGTCCTTTAAAAAATCCACGCCTCTTATCTGGCTTGAAAAGTGGTCCTTTAAAAAATCCACGCCTCTTATAAGCCTTGAAAAATAGTCCACGCCTCCTTATAAAATAATTGTTTTAAATATTCTCTTCTCGCCCTTTCAGTTACGACGAAAATCGTTGCCGTTTAAAAAGAACCCTGTTCTGCATACATCGCTCTGTGGCCCACATATTGGAATTGTGGAACACGAAGTACAAAGAAATCACTTTGGTGGATGCTCGAGAACTATCCAAGGTCACAACGCCATTTGAGCTGTTCGAATTTGCGGTAATTAGTTAAAAAATCATTGGGAAATATTTTTAATAATTTTTAAATTGTTTCAGTACACTGTTGGGCGCCATGTGGACCAGGCTAAAAATATGCTGGAAAATGAATGGTATGGTGAAATACATGCAATTCTCTTGAGGGCCAGTAATCGTGGCCAATTGCCGGATGTAAGGAAAACTCGTCTGATACAACGTTTCTATAATTGTGTGGCGGCTCTGATGACCCAACAGTTGGAAGATATGTGTATCCGAAGTTTAAATCGATTTGCCGATTTTATATGTGATTATGCGGTAAGTGGATTTTTTGAAGAATAGTTTTTTTCCAAAGCCTAACAAAGGCGTGGATTTTTTAAAAGTAGTTTTTCAAGGCATAACAAAGGTGTGGATTACAAAATCTGGGCCTAACAAATTCGCGGATTTTTGAAAAGTAGTTTTTCAATTTTTTTTTCATTTCAGAAATGTAATCCCGGCTTTAAAATCTCTCTGATGTTGGAGGACGAGGATGTGATTGTTTTCAATCCGAATTTTTCCAAGTTCCAAAGTGAAATGGTGCGCATAATCGAATCGATTGTCTTGGCCGTGCAAAATCTCCCGAGAATTGAGAGTAAACTTTATACAGATTTAAAAATCTCCGATAAACTTACCCTGACTCCCGCCATACCGGAATCATTAATTGCTGAGACGCGTAATCGTATTTGTGCCCTACTCGAAGAGGAGCGTATTGGACCCGAATTGCGCTTGCAAGATTTCGATGAATATATTGATTTAATGAATGGTCGTGATGCAGAGCGGGTATCGAAATTTATTTCCGCCCAGCCGGAATTCGAAGCATTCTGTCAAATGGTTCACGAGTATCGTCAGAAGGAAGATAAAATTTCCCGAGATATATGGGGTGTTATCCGAATGGGCCTCTATGAATTTCATAGAGAAAAGTTTATTGGCAACTTGGAAAGTTTTGGGAGGTATATGCAGGAACAGTTACTCAATCATATGGTCAATGATCAGCAGAATAAAATCTCCAAATTGGGTAAGGAGTATGAGTCAATTGCCAAGAAGGCCTTGACCATACCCAAAGACACAGCGGAATTGATGAGCCTTAAGGCCTATGTCATAAACACCGAGGAGAATGTGGTGCCGGAAATGGAACAGCGTTTAAGGGTGAATATGGGTCATATTTTGTGGCTGATGGACCATACCCTGTACTCCCCATTGCAAATTAAAAACAATTCCAATACCTTCCAATGGTATTTGAAATTACCCTCCATATTTGAAGATCATCGAGTGATAATTGCCGATAAGACCATCGAATATCAGGAGCTACTAAAGAAACGCATCGATAGTTTTCGCCGTGAACTGCAAACCTATTTTGATCAGGTTCAAACCTATGATGAATGGGGTGATATCAAACAATTGGCGAAATATAAACGGAAGGCTAATATTCTGGATAATCGTTTGGTTATGGCCATGGATACCATAGATCGTATCAACGAAGAGGAGACTTCGTATGGATGGGATTTGTCGCAATATTTCATAAGGAAGAAGGCTCACGATCAGCTGAAGCCATATAAGACCCTATTCGATGCGGGTCAAGAATTTATGGATAAATATGATTTGTGGATGAATGCCCAAGTGGGAGCATTCGATCCAGATGAAATTGAAACCGAAGTGGCAAATATGTATCGGATCATACAGAAATTGGAAAAGCAAATGGGTGACCATCCCACCACAATGACCCTGATAAAGGATGTGAGTCGGGATGCCAATAAAAATTTATCAAAATATTTAATTTATATATCCCTTTGCAGATCAAAGAACAAATTGAGGCCTTCCGTGAACACATGCCTATTATTTCCACATTGGGTAATCCGGGCATGAAAACACGACACTGGGAATTGGTTTCGGAGATTATCGGTTTTCCAATCAAGGTTTCACCGGACTTGACATTGGCCCGTATCATTGAATATGGCCTGGAGGATTATGTAGGGAAATTTGAGACAATTTCCGAAAGTGCCACCAAGGAAAATAATTTGGAAAGAGCCATGGCTAAAATGGTTGCGGAATGGGAAGACATATCATTTTCCGTATCACCATATAGGTAAGGTGAAATACATATTTGATTTTGAATGAATATTTCAAAGTGTTATTTATTTTTACAGAGATACAGGCACCTATAAGCTGTCGGCCATTGATGACATTCAGGTTCTATTGGATGACCAAATTATCAAGACCCAAACCATGAAGAGTTCGCCATATATTAAACCCTTTGAAAAGGATATATTGTAAGTAAAAACCTTGAGCCATATTCTTTAAAATCCCACGACTGTGGAGGTCCTTAAAAAAATATTTCTTAAAAATCCCCTATGTTAGGCTTTGAAAAAATATTCCTTAAAAATCCCCTCTTTTGCTGGTACTTAGAAAAAAACCCCACGCCTATGTTAAGCTTTGAAAAAATATTTCTTAGAAATCCACGCCAATGTTAGGCTTTGAAAAAATATTCTTTAAAAAATCCACGCCTCTGTTAGGCTTTGAAAAAATATTTCTTAGAAATCCACGCCCATGGTAAGGCTTTGAAAAAATATTCCTTAGAAATCCACGCCTATGTTAGGCTTTGAAAAAATATTCCTTGAAGGATTGAGGCCTCGAATAGGCTTTGAAAAAATATTCCTTGAAGGATTGAGGCCTCGAATAGGCTTTGAAAAAATATTCCTTAGAAATCCACGCCTATGTTAGGCTTTGAAAAAATATTCCTTAGAAATCCACGCCTATGTTAGGGTTTGAAAAAATATTCCTTAGAAATCCACGCCTATGTTAGGATTTGAAAAAATATTCCTTAGAAATCCACGCCTATGTTAGACTTTAAAAAATATTCCTTAAAAATCCACGCCTATGTTAGGCCTTGAAAAAATATTCCTTAGAAATCCACGCCTATGTTAGGCTTTGAAAAAATATTCCTTAAAAATCCACGCCTATGTTAGGCCTTGAAAAAATATTCCTCAGAAATCCACGCCTAAGTTAGGCCTTGAAAAAATATTCCTTAGAAATCCACGCCTATGTTAGGCTTTGAAAAAATATTCCTTAAAAATCCACGCCTATGTTAGGCCTTGAAAAAATATTCCTTAAAAATCCACGCCTCTAATGGACCTTGAAAAAATATTCTTTAAAAATCCACGCCTCTAATGGTCCTTGAATAAATATTCTTTAAAAATCCACGCCTCTTATGGACCTTGAAAAAATATTCTTTAAAAATTCACGCCTCTTGTAGACCCTGAAAAAATATTCTTTAACAAATCCACGCCTTTTATGGATCTTAAAAAATATTCTTTACAAAGTCAAGGTCTTGTGTGGGTCTTTTTAAAATTGTTCTCTAAAAAATCTACTCCTATTTAATGATCCTTTCTTCTCCTTCCAGAAAATGGGAAGCCAAGTTAATTTTATTGCAAGACATATTGGACGATTGGTTACGTGTCCAAGCCACCTGGATGTATTTGGAACCAATATTCTCTAGCCCCGATATTCAACAACAAATGCCCGAGGAGGGTAGACGGTTCAGCGCCGTGGATAAGGTATGTATTTCGAACTGAAACGGAATGTAAAAAATCTCTAATTTGATACTCCTTTTCAGATCTGGAAAGAATTAATGAAACAAGTCAATGCCGATTGCCGGGTCATGGCCGTGGTGGAAATTGACAAAATGTCGGAGAAATTGAAAAAGGCCTTCAATCTATTGGAAATCATACAAAAGGGTCTGAATGCCTATCTGGAAAAGAAACGTTTATATTTCCCGCGATTCTTTTTCCTATCCAATGATGAGCTGCTGGAAATCCTATCGGAAACTAAGGATCCGACAAGGGTTCAGCCACATTTGAAAAAATGTTTCGAGGGCATTGCAACCCTTAAATTTACGGAGGAGCTGGAAGTTACAATTATGCGTTCATCGGAACGTGAAGAAGTTGAACTTGTCGATATTATATCGACAGCTAAGGCCCGAGGTCAAGTGGAGAAATGGCTATTGGAATTGGAGTTGGACATGAAGAAAAGTATTCACAAGAAAATGAGTGAAGCATTCTATAGTTATCCGAATAGTGTTCGGCATGAATGGGTCCTGATATGGCCGGGCCAGTGTGTCCAATCGATATCGTTGACCTATTGGACTTTAAACATAACCGAATGTTTTATGTCCGACGATCCGTGCGGAAATTTGGAAAAATATTTGGAAACAAATGTTACGCAGGTAGGTGGAAGGTAGGGGGTAAAAAGTGAGGGGCGAACAGAAAAATCTCTCAAGAAATTTTCAAATTTGAAGGAGGATAGAAATGGGGAATTTATATGTCCAATTTCTATGTTGAAGACCGTTCCGCACTTCTAGAAGTGTCTATTCCTGACTCTTTATTTTTTATTTCGTATTCATTACTTCTTTCAGATCAATCGCATTGTGGATTTGGTCAGAGGTGATTTGAGCGCCCAGAACCGCATTACGTTAGGGGCCTTGGTAGTGCTCGATGTTCATGCCCGTGATGTCTTGGCCGAGATTGTAGAGAAAAAAGTATCCGAACTCAATGATTTTCAGTGGCTGTGTCAGGTGAGACTGTACCCTTCCCCTAATCCATAAATTTTTCAATCAAAACTAAATTCCCTTTCTCTCTCCACTCAGCTTCGATATTATTGGGAGGACAACAATTTGGATACCCGGATGATTAACTGTTCCCTAAAATATGGTTATGAATATTTGGGAAATACCACGCGGTTGGTTGTAACACCTCTGACAGATCGTTGTTATCGCACTCTCTTCAGTGCTCTGCATTTACATTTGGGTGGTGCACCGGAAGGACCCGCCGGTACCGGTAAAACTGAGACAACAAAAGATTTAGCCAAGGCTGTGGCCAAACAATGTGTTGTCTTTAATTGTTCCGATGGTTTGGATTATATTGCCCTGGGGAAATTCTTTAAGGGTTTGGCTTCATGTGGCGCCTGGTCATGTTTTGATGAATTTAATCGTATCGATTTGGAGGTGCTGTCGGTGGTGGCTCAACAAATCCTCACCATACAACGAGGTATTAATTCAGGAAGTCCCACATTGGTATTTGAGGGTACCACCCTCACCTTGGATCCCACGTGTGCGGTATTTATTACCATGAATCCTGGTTATGCGGGGAGATCGGAATTACCGGATAACTTAAAGGTAAGCTTAGAATAAAAATTATATCAAAGACAAAAATTAAAACCGATTCTCTTTTCAGGCCCTCTTCCGTTCCGTGGCCATGATGGTACCCGATTATGCCCTGATTTCCGAAATTGAATTATATTCCTATGGCTTTTTGACCGCCAAACCATTATCGGTTAAAATTGTGGCCACCTATCGTTTGTGTTCGGAACAATTGAGTACCCAATGTCATTATGATTATGGTATGCGTGCCGTAAAATCGGTTCTCAAAGCCGCAGGAGCTCTGAAATTACGTTATCGCGATGAAAATGAAGATATTTTAGTCCTACGTTCGATAAAAGATGTCAATTTACCGAAATTCTTAAATCAAGATGTCCCCTTGTTCCAAGGTATTACCTCAGATTTGTTCCCAGGAACTGTATTGCCCGAGGCGGATTATGTCATCTTCAATGAATGCTGTCGCGAGGCATGCGAACGTAATAATAAACAGTGTACCGATTTCTTTTTGGAAAAGGTGCAACAGTTGTATGAAATGATTGTTGTACGACATGGTTTGATGTTGGTCGGTTTGCCGTTTGGTGGTAAGACGACTTGTTATCGGATATTGGCTGAAACATTGGAGAATATGGAGAAAAGGGTAGGATTTATTTCCATAGAATTTGTTATGGACTTGGATATAAGGTGTCTATGTCACATAGATAACGATGATAAGATGTGTAGATCTTGTATGTGGCATAGATAAATTATCTGAGTCTTTAAGATGTCGAAGATAATGTATCGATTTCTATGCAATGCTATTTAGAAGTAGTAGATAATTTATCTGTGCTATTTAAATTTCGTAGATAATTTATCTAAGATGCCCGTGTGAAAAATCTGTTTCGCCCAATATTTTCTAATGCGATCCCCTTTTTTGCAGAACGCCGGTGAAAATCGTGCAATTTACACCATCATCAATCCCAAGGCCATTACCATGGGTCAATTGTATGGCCAATTTGATGCTGTCTCCCATGAATGGAGTGATGGGGTGCTGGCCGTAAGCTATCGACAATTTGCCGTCTCTGAGACCCCGGATCGTAAATGGTTAATTTTTGATGGTCCGGTCGATGCCATTTGGATTGAAAATATGAATACGGTATTGGATGATAATAAGAAGCTGTGTCTGATGTCCGGAGAAATTATACAACTGTCGCCCACAACAAATCTAATATTTGAACCAATGGATTTGGAGGTGGCTTCACCGGCCACAGTGTCACGATGTGGTATGATCTATATGGAACCTTCGTCGCTGGGTTGGGAACCTTTGGTGACATCGTGGAAAAATCGTTTGCCAGCCAGTTTCCATGCTGTGGCCAAGCAATTGGTGACGTCTCTCATCAAGCGGTTCTGTCCAATTTTGCTGTATATTGTAAGGAAAGCTTCGTTGGTGGAAATTGCCCCCACTTCGGATGCCAATTTAATGGTGGCCTTGATGAATATTTTCGATTGTTTCTTGGATGATTTTAAGGATGAGAAATATGTCCAGAATCTATCCGATTTGGATATGAGGGCCCAAATCGAGGGAGTGTTTTTGTTTTCCTGCATTTGGTCCATTGGTGCCTCTTTGGACTCGAATAGTCGTGAGAAATTCAATTTGGTTTTTCGCGGCCTTATGGAAAAGAATTTCCCCGATAATTTATATGAAACGTTTGGCATTCCGGAGGAGTTACATGTTCCAGCATTGCCCAAGCCTTTTATTTTCCCCATACCCAAACAGGGTTCGGTGTTCGATTATCGTTTCATTAAGGAGGGTAAAGGTAAATGGAAGCCATGGCAGGATGATGTGGCCGCCGCTCCGGCCATAAGTCGTGACATACCCGTAAATCAAATTATTATTGTGACCAATGAAAATGTCCGATCCACAGCGGTTTTGGATTTACTTGTGCGACATGGAAAGCCTGTGTTGTTTGTGGGACCCACCGGTACCGGAAAAAGTTGTTATATTATCGATTATATGCTGAAGAAAATGGATTTGTCTGTCTATAAGCCTTTGCTAATTAACTTTTCGGCCCAGACTTCGGCGAATCAAACTCAGGATATAATTATGTCGAAATTGGACAAGAGACGTAAGGGTGTCTATGGTCCACCGTTGAATAAGCGATTTGTCATATTTGTCGATGATGTTTCAATGCCATTGAAAGAGAATTATGGCGCCCAACCTGCCATTGAGTTGCTGCGTATGATGATGGATCATTGGATGTGGTATGATCGGAAGGCAATTGTCCCACTGAAATTAATCGATATACAAATGATATGCGCCATGGGGCCGCCATCGACGGGCAACACAATTACACCACGTTTCCAGCGGCATTTTAATGTGGTGGCCATTGATGAATTTAATGATGATATACTGAAGACTATTTTTAGTAAAATAATCCTGTGGCATTTGGATACGAGGTAAGACCCAAAACCTGTCTGATTTAATTGGAAAATATAACAATTTCTTTTATATCCCTACAGAGGCTTCTCCAAAGAATTTGATCCCTGCATCGAAGAAATAGTCAATGCCACCTTGACAATTTACAATAAGGCCAAAATGAATCTGCTACCCACACCAGCGAAATCCCATTATCTCTTCAATTTACGAGACTTCTCTCGAGTGATACAGGGAGTTTTACTTTCCGTTCCCGAAGCCACAGAAGATCTTAATTCCATGAGACGACTTTGGGTCCATGAAGTATTTCGCGTATACGGTGATCGCCTTGTAGAAGACTCCGATCGCAGTTGGCTGTTCACCGCTCTCTGTGAACAAATGCGCAACAGTTTCGCCATCGAACCTGAAGTCCTCTTCGAACGTTTCGTTCAAAAGGGTGAAAAACTAACCGAAGCTGATTTTCGTAATTTAATCTTTTGTGATTTTACCAATCCCAAAGCGGATACGAAAAACTACATTGAAGTACAAGATTTAGACGAGTTACGCAATGTGGTCGAATCGTATTTGGTCGAATACAACAACATGTCCAAGAAGCCAATGAATTTGGTATTGTTTCGTTTTGCCGTGGAACATTTGTCGAGAATTTGTCGCATTATAAAGCAGCCACGTAGTCATGCTCTACTTATCGGTGTCGGTGGCTCCGGACGTCAGAGCTTGACTCGTTTGGCTTCGCATATATGTGACTATGAATTGTTTCAAGTTGAAATATCTCGATCATATGGACCGAATGAATGGCATGAAGATATCAAGGGTATATTGCGTAAGATCAGTTCGTCGGAAATGCATGGGGTGTTCTTGTTTACAGATGTTCAGGTAATGTAGATATGTGTGTGTGTCAAAACATTATTTTGGAGGTATTGGGAATGTACGGACCTCAAAATAGTATTTTGTGTTCGTTCCGCAACAACATTGTGATGTTGTTTTTTATATACAGACGGTTAGAAATATATAAATTATATGAATATATGATTCAGATAACATAGATAATGTGACAACACCATTTAGATGTCTTAGATAATGTATGTGTGTTATTTAAATAACTTAGATAATTTATCTATGGCTTTGATACAGCTTAGATAATGTATATATCTACATTATTAAGATTGAGTAGATAATGTGTATATGTTGTTAGGATGATTTAAATCATTTATATGTGCCAGTTAGGTTCCAAAGATAATATATCAATGTCATAGATAATTTATCTGAGTCATTGAAATGTCATAGCTAATGAATCTAAGTCTTTACGATATCGTAGATAATGTATCTATGCCATTTAGATGTTTGAGATAATGTATCTATGTCATTTAGATATCATAGATAATCTATCTATGCCATTTATATGTCTTACATAACGTACCTAAGCCATTTAGATATCATAGATACTGTATCTATGTCATTTAGATATTATAGATAATATATCTATACCATTCTAATGTTTAGGTAATGTATCTAAGACATGTAGATATCATAGATAATGTATCAATGCCTATTAGATGTCATAGATAATGTATCTATGCCATTTTCCCGTCATAGACAATGTATATAGATGTCATAGATAATGTATATATGCTATTTAGATATCATAGATAAAGCATATATGTCATTTAGATGTCTTACATAAAGTATCTAAGCCAATTAGACATCATATATAATGTATCTATGCCATTTAGATGTTGTAGATAATGTATTATTTTGGTGTTATAGATAATGTATCTATGACATTAAAGTATCATAGATAATGTATCTACATATGTCATTTAGATGTTTTAGATAATGTATATTAGTCATTTAATTGTCGTGGATAATGCATCTATGTCATTTAAATATCACAGATGATGTATCTGTGCTATTTAGATGTCTTAGATAATGTAACTAAGTTGTTTAGATATCATAGATAATGTATCTAAGTCATTTAGATGTCATATATAATATATCTATGACATTTGAATGCCTTGGATAATGTATCTAAGCTATTTATATATCATAGATAATTTATCTAAGTCATTTTGGTGTCATAGATAATGTATCTATGCCATTAAGATGTCATAGGTAATGTATCTACGTCATTTAGGGATCATAGATAATCTATCTAAGTCATTTAGATATCATAGATAATGTATCTATGCTATATAGATGTCATAGATAATGTACCTACGTCATTTAGATGTCATAGATAATGTATCTTAGTCATTTAGATATCATAGATAATGTGTCTTAGTCATTTAGTTAACATAGATAATTTATCTAAGCCATTTAGGTAACATAGATAATTTATCTAAGCCATTTTGGTTAACATAGATAATACATCGACGCCATTTGAATACATAGATAATGTATCTACAAGATTTATTTGATATCCTTATAATAATGAAAGTTATCTATGTAACCTAATAACGTACCTGATGACAGAGATAAATTATCTATTATCTATGAAATGTATTTATTTAATCGATTTTAAAATTTTCCCATTTCCAATATTGGAAAAATCGAATCATATTTTTATCTCGGCACAATCAATTTACAATTTTATCTACTTCAGATAAAAGATGAATCCTTCTTGGAGGATATCAACAATTTATTGAACTCGGGTGAAGTTCCGAACTTGTTTAGCAATGAAGAGAAAATGGAAGTTGTCGAGAAGATGGCTCAAATTGATAAGCAGCGGGACAAGGCAGTGCAGACGGATGGCAGTCCGGTGGCCCTGTTCAATTTCTTTGTAACGGTAAGTCCGCAATGAACCTACACAAATAATCGATTATTAATTTCGAATGTTCACCCTTCCAGACCTGTAAAGATCAGCTGCATGTGGTCCTGGCCATGTCACCGATTGGTGAGGCTTTGCGTATTAGGATACGCAAATTTCCCTCAATTGTGAACTGCTGTACAATTGATTGGTTCCAGGCATGGCCAGAGGATGCTCTGTTGGCAGTGTCCACAAGGTTTTTGGCCCAGGAGGATCTAACAGATTTGGAGCGTCGTGCAGCTATAGATATGTGTATGGAATTTCATACCTCCACCCAGGCATTGTCGGAGGCATTCTATTTGAGATTGAAGCGGCATAATTATGTCACACCTACGTCATATTTGGAATTGATACAGACTTTCAAGACGTTGCTGAACAAGAAAAGAGCGTAAGTGGGGGAGAGGGGTGAAGAGTGAACGAATGAGATTTAATTTCTTTTTTTTCAGATCTGTAATGCTCAACAAAAATCGCTATTTGACTGGCATATCCCAATTGGATATTGCCGCCCAGCAAGTGGGTGTGATGCAGGAACAATTGGAAGCTTTGGAACCGAAAATTAAAGCAGCAGCCGAAACCGTTGCCATACAAGTAGCCAAGGTCACGGAAGACAGCAAGGCAGCTGAGGAACAACGTGAAATTGTCAAACGAGATGAGGCAGTGGCTGCGGAACAGGCTCAATTGGCTCAGGCCATAAAGGATGAATGTGATGCAAAATTGGGCGAAGCCCTACCCATACTCAATGAGGCAATGGCTGCCCTGAACACCCTGACCACAGCTGATATTGCCGTTGTTAAGACAATGAAATCTCCTCCGGTGGGAGTGCGTATTGTCATGGAAGCTGTGTGCATTTTGAAAGAAGTTAAACCGGAACGTATTGCCAATCCCAGTGGTGTGGGCATGATTGAAGATTACTGGGGTCCATCGAAGAAAGTTCTGAGTGATATTAAATTTTTGGATAGTCTTTTAAATTTCGATAAGGATAATATACCTCCAGCGGTCATAAAGAAGCTGCAGGAAAGGGTCTTAACGAATGAGGCATTTGATCCGGAAAAAATTAAGACCGCCTCCACAGCTTGTGAGGGGTTGTGTAAATGGGTTATTGCCCTAACGAAATATGATGTGGTGGCGAAAATTGTTGCCCCGAAAAAGATTGCCTTGGCCGAGGCGGAGGCTACCTATAATGTGAGTTTTCAAAATTTTAAAAGTAACTTCTTAAATCCTAAATTCGATGATGTTTCTATTTTCCAGGCTGCTCAAAAAACTCTGAACGAAAAACTGGCCCAACTTGCTCGGGTCGAAGCAAATTTGGCAGCGATTCAGAAGGTGTTGGACAAGCAAATGAAGGAATATGGGTGAGTAGAGAAAATTGTTCCAAGAACTATAAGAGTGGATTTTTTAAAGAATATTTTTGAAAGGGACTTTCGGAGTCGTGGATTTTTTAAAGAATATTTTTGAAAGGGACTTTCAGCGGCGTGGATTTTTTAAAGAATATTTTTTTTGAGAGGGACTTTCAGCGGCGTGGATTTTTTAAAGAATATTTTTGAAAGGCCAATCTGCTATTGGTATTCAGTGTAATTTATTATTTTTCATTTCCCCTTCTTTCAGCATCCTCCAAGCGGAACATGAGGCTTGCACGAAAAAATTACAACGAGCGCAGGATCTTATCTCCGGCTTGGGTGGTGAACGCACCCGATGGTCAGAGACCGCCAAACAGCTGGGACGCATTTACAATACCCTTACCGGAGATGTGCTAATATCCTCCGGTGTTGTCTCCTATTTAGGACCATTTACCATTGAATATCGTGTCGAACAGACCCGCAAATGGGCTGAAAAATGTGCCGGTTTTGGTATCGTCTGCAGTCAAGATTTTCAATTGGTCAATGTACTGGGCGAACCCGTCGAAATACGTAATTGGAATATATGTGGCCTACCCACTGATTCCTTTTCCATTGAAAGTGCCATTATGATGCAGTAAGTACAATAACAACAATAGCAACAAAATAGATATCCTTTGAATACAAAACCAAATCCCTTGGGGCTATTTATTAAGGGCTGAAAAACAAGAATGGGATAAAAATGTAATATGAGACCAGATAACATCAATTACAGAGAATACACAACAGTTGGGATGCAGTGAACAGAAAAAACGCAACAACAATAACGAAACAAACTTCAAATAAAAATGTTTTTAGGCGTTTTTTCGTTTTTATAGAGTCTGTCATTATTAAATTTCCCAACCCTAATCCCTTTTCTGCAAAACGTTTACATCAAAAGCAACACATCTCGGGCTTGGTGGTGGGAGTTATGCACACACAACTACCACCACCCACCCTTCGAACCCGCTTTTTCTATTTCCACAACTACTCCTTGTTGTAGTGAAGGTTAGACACCTCTTTTGCTAAAAATCGCTCACACCCTCCGCCACCTCTTGCCCGCCTTCTCGGTTTTGGCATTTAATTATAGAAGTTTTCCATTCGCTGCTAGTATTTGCAGCATCATCTTAAGCCAACAACAACAACAAGAAAAATTAATTACATTTACATTACAAGATATTTTAATTACAGAGCTTCTTAACGCACCGCACACCGAACGCTAATGTGCAGCAAGCAAGCAAGGATAAAAAAGGACCTCGGCCACCACCATCATGGCCACTATAATAAAAATACCTTTTTATTAGTATTGTTGCTGTTATGCTTGTTGTTGAGACTGTCGTTTTTACACATTTTCTCAATGAGCTGAAATTTAAATAGTTTTCCGCTCAAGTTCACCTTCGTTTCGATTTTCTCTACGTTGGACATTGCAAATAGCAAAAGGCGTGGATTTTTTACAGAATATTTTTTCAAGGACTAGAAGAGGCGTAGATTTGTTAAAGAATATTTTTCCGAGGCTTATAAGAGGCGTGAATTTTTTAAAGAATAATTTTTCCAAGGACTAAAAGAGGCGTGGACTTTTTAAAGAATATTTTTGAAGAGGACTATAAGAGGCGTGGACTTTTAAAAATAATATTTTTGAAGAGGACTTTAAGAGGCGTGGATTTTATAAGGAATTTTTTTGGAGGCTTATAAGAGGCGTGGATATTATAAGGAATTTTTTTGAAGGCTTATAAGAGGCGTGGATTTTATAAGGAATTTTTTTGGAGGCTTATAAGAGGCGTGGATTTTATAAGGAATTTTTTGGAGGCTTATAAGAGGCGTGGATTTTATAAGGAATTTTTTTGGAGGATTATAAGAGCCGTGGATTTTATAAGGAACTTTTTTGGAGGCTTATAAGAGCCGTGGATTTCATAAGGAATTTTTTTGGAGGCTTATAAGAGCCGTGGATTTCATAAGGATTTTTTTTGGTGGCTTATAAGAGGCGTGGATTTTAAAAGGAATTTTTTTGGTGGCTTATAAGAGGCGTGAATTTATAAGGATTTTTTTTGGAGGCTTATAAGAGGCGTGGATTTTATAAGGAATTTTTTTGGAGGCTTATAAGAGGCGTGGATTTTTTAACGAATATTTTTTCGAGGTTTATAAGAGGCGTGGATTTCTGAAAGAATATTTTTTTCAATGACTATAAGAGGCGTGGATTTCTGAAAGAATATTTTTTCAATGACTATAAGAGGCGTGGATTTCTGAAAGAATATTTTTTCAATGACTATAAGAGGCGTGGATTTCTGAAAGAATATTTTTTCAATGACTATAAGAGGCGCGGATTTCTGAAAGAATATTTTTTTCAATGACTATAAGAGGCGTGGATTTCTGAAAGAATATGTTCGAAGAGGACTATAAGAGGCGTGGATTTCTGAAAGAATATGTTTGAAGAAGACTATAAGAAGCGTGGATTTCTGAAAGAATATGTTCGAAGAAGACTATAAGAGGCGTGGATTTCTGAAAGAATATGTTCGAAGAGGACTATAAGAGGCGTGGATTTCTGAAAGAATATGTTCGAAGAGGACTATAAGAGGCGTGGATTTCTGAAAGAATATGTTCGAAGAGGACTATAAGAGGCGTGGATTTCTGAAAGAATATGTTCGAAGAGGACTATAAGAGGCGTGGATTTCTGAAAGAATATGTTCGAAGAGGACTATAAGAGGCGTGGATTTCTGAAAGAATATTTTTTTTCAATGACTATAAGAGGCGTGGATTTCTGAAATATTTTTTTTCAAGGACTATAAGAGGCGTGGATTTCTGAAATATTTTTTTTCAAGGACTATAAGAGGCGTGGATTTCTGAAACATTTTTTTTAAGGACTATAAGAGGCGTGGATTTCTGAAAGAATATTTTTGTAATATTTTTCATAAATTCCACCTTCCCATCTCTGTAGCGAATATGTCAGTTATGTTTTATTTTTATTAGACAAGTGATATTTAATATGAGTGTATGTATTTACGGTAATTACGATAAAATGAAAAACTTTACGAGCTCTCTTTTATGTTTTTTTTGTGTTCACGACATTTTAATGCTAACGAACATGATGGGGTGACAGCGATAGCAACAACAGCAACAATAATCGAGTAAAAAATGTAACAACAGAAGTTCATCATCAAAGGATACACACGAAGTCGAAAAATGTTCGTTTAAATTTTAATTTACATAAAAATTCGATATACAAATTTGGTTTTCCTAGGAATTTGTTATTGAAAATATTTGTAAAGGCTTGAAGGTAGACATCGGTATGGCAGATGATGATTGAAAATGGCGAGAAAAAAAAACATTTATTTGATTTGTTGTTGTTGGTGTTGTATTAAATGTCATTTAGTTGTATTTTCATTTCTTTAATTTAGCATTTGTCTCGGCTTATATTTTGAAAAATCTTTCATATTTCTGAGCGTTCCGAACATCTGATCTTGTTGGTATTTCCTAAAAATGTTCAAATGGTTATTAAAGCACAGCTGAAAGCAAAGGATGTGAAAGGCGGGGTTGTAATCAAAAACAATCCTTGGCAGAAGTTCTGCTGTTGTCACCAATTGCTGGTGGTGGGGGAATGAAGTGGGTGGGAGGGTTGGGTTTTTGCATTTGCACCAAAAATCCTTACGCACTCGTTTAATATCGCCAACATCCGTATTAATTGCGAAAAGGGTAATTTGTGTTAAATGTGTATGATTGCTTGCTTCTGAAGTGGGTTGGTGACTCAAAATATAAAATATAAATACAATTTAATGCAGGCAAGAATATTGCACGTTTTAAGAAATCGGATTTTCTTCATAAAAAAATCTAATCTTATTTTCTGTTAACGAAAATAATATTTAAGAAGAACTGTTAAATTTGGCCCTGTCGCACCAATAAATCGTCTTGGTACGGGTAGATCAGAATACACAGAGATAAAATATAATAAAAATGTCAATAGTAACTAAAAGTTATCTTTAAAACGTGGTTGAATTCAACCATTCCGAATTTTGATACCCTCCACTTTATCATGATTTCAACAGACTGACTGGCAGACATGGCTGAATCTATATATAATGATATTCTGGTCAAATATATATACTCTGTGGAAAATTGAGGTAAAGACTATCAAAATGCCTAATATGGGGATGGGATCTTAATATGGGCGCTTTCGCCATCCAAGAAACCAGAATTACAAACTGCAGTCACTTTGCTGAGAAAGTTCGGTACAAACATTTCAAACATGGACCATTATAGAAAAATTAATGGCATTTTGGGGAAATTTTTGTTTAATTTTCAAGTCAGAAATATCAACCTACCGTCTTTTCGGTGGGATATGTGGACAAAACCATAACAATTAACATACGCCAAAACATGAACCGATATCGAAAATATCGTGCAAAGATGCTTCTAACCCTCTAGATCCCGGGATGCTAACCCCTATATAAGGGTACCGCCCAATTTTCGATACTTGGGGTTCTTGAGCGCGCTTTTCAACCGAATTCGCTGAAATTTATTACATTGAGTTCTTTTTGGGTACCAAAAGTCTCCACTAAAAATTATAAATATAGGTCCATTTTTTCTGGTAGGCCCCATATAACGGTACCCCTAATTTTCAGTATTTTGGGGGTTTTGATCGCATTTTTGCACCGAATTGGCTGTAATTTAGTATTTTGATTTCTTAATAGGCACCAAATCTCTCCACAAAAAAAATATTAATATAGGTCAATTTTTTCGGATAGCCCCTATATAAGGGTACTCTCCAAATTTTGGTATTTTGGGGTTCTTGAGAGCGGCTTTCAACCGAATTAGCTGTAATTTGGTATTTTGTAGTCGCATATGGTATCAAATCTCCTTACCAAAAATTATTAATATTCACCCCCTTTTTGGGGTAGTCCCCATATAACCCCTTTTTATACCCTTCACCACACTGTGGTACAGGGTATTATGTCTGTGCATTTGTTTGTAACAGGCAAAAGGAATCGAGATAGACCCATGGTTCCTTTTGAGAATGTGCATAGAATCACTTTTTGAGTCGATTTACGCATGTCCGTCTGTCCGTCCGTCCATGTATTTTTGTTAACAAAGTACAGTTCGCATTTATGATCCGATTTGGATGAAATTTGGCACAGTTACGAACCCTACATCCTGGCCCGCGCATGCTGTGTGTGCGGAGTTTTGTTGGAATCGGTTCAGATTTAGATATAGCTCCCATATATATAGTCGTCCGATTTTACACAGAGTTCTGAATTAGGTCCAGACTGATGTCTGCAAAGTTTTGTTATTTTGGGGGTTTTGATCGCATTTTTGCACCGAATTGGCTGTAATTTAGTATTTTGATTTCTTAATAGGCACCAAATCTCTCCACAAAAAAAATATTAATATAGGTCAATTTTTTCGGATAGCCCCTATATAAGGGTACTCTCCAAATTTTGGTATTTTGGGGTTCTTGAGAGCGGCTTTCAACCGAATTAGCTGTAATTTGGTATTTTGTAGTCGCATATGGTATCAAATCTCCTTACCAAAAATTATTAATATTCACCCCCTTTTTGGGGTAGTCCCCATATAACCCCTTTTTATACCCTTCACCACACTGTGGTACAG